ATATCTACCATGATTTCCACCCCTCCAGAAAGGACTGAAGGGAAATTACATCATAAAGACCATTTATCCAGAGATCTAAGTTATGCCTTATGAGACAAGTAGTGTCTTCCTGGTGTGAAACCATCCTTTGCCCAGTGAAAAGACAAGAGACTTTTGAGCTGTTTATGTATAAAATATTTTTTTCCCTCTGGAATGCAAAAGATCTGGCTGCAAATCAAAGCTGAAATAAAAAATTGCGGAGAGTCCAGAAGAACAGGAAAATGACAAGGAATTTATGAGACTTCAGAAACTGAAGAAACACAAGCAGTTATTGAGAAACATAAAGGTTATAGAGACTGAATTGAAGTTCTGCCATCATGCCAACTGGACGTGCAGTTATATCAAAAGAAGACGGAAAGACAGGGAGAAAATGTGGAGAAATTGGCTGGTGTGTTACTAGAGGTCAGAATCTGGAGGACCAGCTTGTGAGTGCTTAGAGCTGGAAAAGAGGAAGACAGATGAAATGTCCTTAAAGAGACTAGAAACTGCAAATCACAAGAAGTTGTCTAGAGCTGAGATAAGGACACAAAAGAAGCATGAAGCTGTTAAGCAATATGGGCTGTGAAAAGAGCAGGTTTGTGACCATCTGAAGGACATGAAGGTGCACAAGTGTAAGGGACCTGATGGGATTCACCCATGGATCCTAAAGGAACTGGCCGATGAAGTTGCTGGAGGACAGGGAGGCCATCCAGAGGAACCCAGACAGTCTTGGAAAGCATGAAGTTCAACCAGGCCAAGCACAAGGTCCTGCACCTGGGCTGGGACAATCCCAAGCACAAACACAGGCTGGGTGGAGGTATGGATGTCCATGAGAGCTGGGCAACTTTCAAACACTACTTGCTCCAAGCCCAAGACCAGTGCACACTTATGAGGAAGAAATCAAGCAGAGGAAGCAGGAGACCTGCCTGGATATGTAAGGGTCTTCTGGAAAAAAATGAAACAGAAAAAGGAAATTTACAGAATGTGGAAAACAGGACTGGCCACTTGGGAAGAATACAGAATGTAGCCCACCTGGAATTCAATCTGGCAATGGGTATTAAGGACAAGAACAGTTTCTTCCAAAGACTAGGGAAAATGTAGGCCTGCTGATGAATGAGGCAGGGACTCCAGTGGTGGATGACACAGAGAAGGCAGAGTTACTGAATGTCTTCTTTGCTTCAGTCTTCACTGCAAAAGCCAGCCCTCTTGAATCCCAGACCCTGGTGGAAAGAGATAAGGTCTGGAGAAAGTAAGACTTTCCCTCAGTAGAGGAGGATCAGGTTAGTGGTCACTTAGCTAATCTGGATATTCACAAATCTACGGGTCCTGATGGGATGCATCCATGAGTTCTGAGAAAGCTGGCAGTTGTTATTGCTAGGCCACTCTCCATCATCTTTGAGAATCCATGGAGAACAGGAGAGGTGCCTGAGGACTGAAGGAGGGCTAATGTCACTCCAGTCTTTAAAAAGGGCAAAATGGATGACCCAGGGAACTACAGGACAGTTAGTGTCACCTCCATCCCCACTAAGGTGTTAGAAAAAGTCATTCTGGATGTCATCACAAAACAAGTGAAAGCAAAGAATGTCATCTGGAGAAGTCAGCATAGATTCACCAAAGGGAAATAATGCTTGACCAATCTGTGTGCTATGATGTTCGTAACTGTCTGGCTAGACCAGGGGTGAGCAGTAGACGTTATCTACCTTGACTTCAGCGAGGCTTTTCACACTGTCTCTTGTAACATCCTCATTAGGAAACTCAGAAGTGTGGGCTAGATGAGTGGACAGTGAGGTGGATTGAGAGCTGTGTGACAGAACTCGGAGGGTTGAGAGTAAGAGAGCAGGGTTGAGTTGGAGGCCTGTAACCAGTGATGTCCCCCAGGAGTCAGTACTCAGCCCAGTCTTGTTCAATATATTCATGAACAACCTGGACAAAGGGACAGTCCTCAGCAAGTTCACTGACAATACCAAACTGGGAGGGGTGGTTGACACTCCAGAGGGCTGTGCTGCCATCCAGTGTGAGCTGGACAGGCTGGAGAGCTGGGCAGAGAAGAACCTGAGGAGGTTCAATAAGGACAAGTGTAGGGTCCTGCACGTGGGGAGGAGGAACTCCACGCACCAATATAGGTTAGGGGTGGACCTGCTGGAAAGCAGTTCTGAGAAGGAACTGAGGGTCCTGGTAGATAATAGATTATCCATGAGCCAGCAATGTGGCCTTTTTGCCAAGGCGGCCAATGGAATCTTGGGGTACGCAAGGAGGAGCGTGGCCAGTAGGTTGAGGGAAGTCATTCTGCCCCTCTACTCTGCCCTGGTGAGGCCACATCTGGAACACTGCATCCAGTTCTGGGCTCCCCAGTTCAAGAGAGACAGGGAGCTACTGGAAAGTCTCCAGCGGAGGGCAAGGGTGGTTGACACTCCAGAGGGCTGTGCTGCCATCCAGTGTGAGCTGGACAGGCTGGAGAGCTGGGCAGAGAAGAACCTGAGGAGGTTCAATAAGGACAAGTGTAGGGTCCTGCACGTGGGGAGGAGGAACTCCACGCACCAATATAGGTTAGGGGTGGACCTGCTGGAAAGCAGTTCTGAGAAGGAACTGAGGGTCCTGGTAGATAATAGATTATCCATGAGCCAGCAATGTGGCCTTTTTGCCAAGGCGGCCAATGGAATCTTGGGGTACGCAAGGAGGAGCGTGGCCAGTAGGTTGAGGGAAGTCATTCTGCCCCTCTACTCTGCCCTGGTGAGGCCACATCTGGAACACTGCATCCAGTTCTGGGCTCCCCAGTTCAAGAGAGACAGGGAGCTACTGGAAAGTCTCCAGCGGAGGGCAACAAAGATGAGTGGGAGATTGGAGCATCTTCCGTATGAGGAAGGGCTGAGAGATCTGGGACTCTCTAGCCTGGAGAACAGAATGCTGAGGGAGGAACCTTATTAATGCCTGTAAGTGCCTAAAGGGTGGGTGCAAGGATGATGGAGCCAGACTCTTTTCAGTAGTTCCCAGTGACAGGATGAAGGGCAATGGGCACAAGCTGGAACACAGGAAGTTCCACTTGAATATGAGAAGAAATTTTTTTACTGTGAGGGTGACAGAGCACTGGAACAGGCTGCCCAGGGAGGTTGTGGAGTCTCCTTCTCTGGAGATGTTCAAGACCCACCTGGATGCAGTCCTGAACGATGTGCTGTAGGGGATTCTGCTTTAGCAGGGGACTTGGACTACATGATCTCTAGAGGTCCCTTCCAGCTCTGACAATCCTGTGATTCTGTGAAAAACCAGTACAATAAATAGTATTTGTCTTAAAAAACTCCACAATAGAAAACTTTTGTTATATGTGAGTATTTATCAGCTTTGATTTCATCTTTAAAAAGGAAAGAAGAAAAAAGAAACCCAAGTCACTTTGGTGTTTATGAGAATAGGAAACTCATTATTATTGGTTATGCCAATGCATTTCAGTCATCCTGTACCAAACTGAGCCTAAAGGAGCTGCCAGAAAACTGCAGGCTTAATACAACACATGGACCAAAAAAAGAAAGCTGTATTTATTTGGGGTGGAGTGGGAAATGCATATAAAATTTGGATCTGTTTCCCAACCTTCAACATAAATTCTGCACCTGCTTCCATCTGCTGGTACAGATGCATGATGTTGTACAAGAGACCTCTGCTCATTCTGGCTCTATACTGGTGCTCATGGAGCAAGAATTCCCTTCGAGTCCAAGAAACTGAAACTTACATGGAATTACTGAAGGACCAAAAGTAAAAAGTTTAAAATTGTCAATGTAACCCACCAGTCTCACTAGGAGATGAGAAAGTGCTGGGACAACTGTAGTTTTAGAATATTGATTCAGAGAAGGAAGACAGAAACCAGTAAGAATGTGCTATTCACACCCGACCAGCACATTCAACTTTGGAAGAAGTGAAGTCATTTCAATGATGGCTGAAAAAACAAGCAAGCTAGAAAACATGTTCCAAAGGAGCAGGGCGTTTGATCTCAACCAAAGACATGACCACACAGGGGTGCAGAGCAGCCAAAGGGACACACACAGAGAGCATCTCTAACTGAGGGAAAAAGCTAGTAGACTTCCCCTCCCCAAGTATGCTCTGATTCAGATTTTTGAGACTATAAAAGGATTTGTCGTTTGCCAAAAATGGCTCCTCTTACATTCCGCAGGGAAGCGCTGGCACCATCACCCACCGGGTGCACGTTGGTGAGGAGACCTCCAGCTGTCCTGGCTAGAGAGCCACCAGAAAACTGGCTGCTGAAACCATGTGCTGTCTTGTCTCCTTACCGCTTTCCACACTTTGTGCCCTCTAGGAACAGAGCAGGGGAAGTTGCAATCCATTGCATCTGGGTGCAGCTGCAGTTCAACCTGCACCCGTCACACCGGTGCCACTGGACAGAGGTGATGCACCCAATGCTTGTGCACAGACCAGGGGTCATTCCCCTCAGCTGGCCTGGTCAAACCTTGCTTTAATGATCTGAATGATATACAGTAACTCGGCAGGCACAGGCTCACGTGCCAACCAGTCAGTAAACTTCAGGCAAAGTCAGTCTTGTAGCAAGTATGCTTACAGTACAGTACAAGAGAATATACATTGACTAAGTTATTGCCTATGGCTCCTGCAGGCTGCTTTCCCACCCCGGGAGCCAGTAATGGCACAGGACTGTGTTGCCATCTTGGAATGTACAATTGCTTGGTCTGAGCATCACCAGGAGCTGCCTGTGTGGGACAGAGACTGATCTCCAGCCCAGCTACACTGCCCGGGGCCAGCTGTGCCTCGGTGGTACCTGGGCAGAGCAGCAGTCAGGTCCAAACAGAAAGGATCCCCGTGAACACACAGCACGGGACCTACCCAGAACAGCTGCAATTGCTCTATGAACTGTATGTGGTGCTGATATGAAATTTTATAAATTGATTAATTTTAATTTTTTTTAAATAAAAGTGCTCTCTGTTGCTCTGGCTCCATGGATCAAGACACCACCTACAGTTTTAAGAATCATTACATTTTTGTATTAAGTGAAATACAATCTCCTCCCTCTGTCCTTGAACCTCCATCCCTTTCCCTTCCTTTTCCTGCTCCTTCTTTTGCCCTTGCCCTGTGCTGCTTGTTGTTGCGTTTAGTATGAAATCAGGCAACCCCCAAAGGCCAGTTGACATTTTTATGTTTTGTTTTTGCAGATCTCCATCACAGATGGAATTTTTGCTGGTCATTTCTTGGAACCGATCCAGGACAAACCAAAAGAAGAGAGGGCAGTGAAAACAAACCCCAAGACAAGAGCCGGAGGAAAGAAGAATCACTGAACAAGCAGAAATCAGTTTTCCACCGGGGTGGGGTTTGCTAAAGGCTGGCTCACGATGACTTGCACCACGTAGTCCTTTGGGATTTTCAGCTCCTCCAGTTTCATTTTGTCTGCCAGGGGCCTGCCCGAGAAGAACCAGCGCTGGCTGCCCGGCTCCACTCCCTCCACCGCGTGCAGCCGCCTCTTCATGTGGTAAACTGTGTCCATGCTGCGGACCATGAGTTTGAGGTCTTTGCCTGTGGACAGGCGCAAACGAAGCTGGCATTCGTGCCCTGAATTGGGTGGGGGATCAGGAATATCCAGAGTCTCCAAGTCACCCTTCTCCTCTATCATGTTGATAGGCGGGGCGAGGCAGTAGACGGGAAGCTGGTACCGGTTGCCCAGTTCATCGTAACACTCTGTAAGAGCACCTTTAGGAGATAAGAGGGGAAAAAAATTGAGTATGAATGCATTTCACATTTAAGACTGAAGTGGTCACGCTCAGAAGCATTCACCCTACTGTTCAGCCACCCAAGCGATGATGTATGAATTCAGACTTTAAAGGATAAATACAAAAATCTCTAGTTTTCATTAAAAATTGCTTCGCCTTGTTTTCATCGGGCAACTTGTGGATAACTTCAAAAAACACCCCCTAAAAGCCAAACACATAGTTCCCTCCAGATAAACCTGGATAAACTTCAAAAACAGCAGGAAGGAAGAGACAAGGGAGGATGATGTTCTGCCCATCTGTCACTTAGAAGAGGAATATTTCAGCAGCAGCACCGTCTGAATTTCAGGGCACACGCACACCTAGAAAATACTGTTTGGATGAATTCCACGATCCTAAACCCAAGCTCTGAAAAAGCAAACTGGCAATGACTGAAGGCAAAAGACCACTGTGAAAGATAGATTTCTGTAACTTCTCAAATATTCAAAAATTGCTGGAACATTTTCCTACAGGAGTCATGGTTTAGTGATCAACGCCAGAACAAATAAACACGACCACCCAAGTCAGACAACTTTGTGGCTCCATCCGGAGAGCAGTGTCACTGCCAGAGCAACGACACCCAGCACATACTTCACATTTGCAGAGCATCTGTCACTCCCGTGTTCAAAGCCCTGCAGTTTCAGGGGTGATTTTTATTCCCCAGACTCCTGAGAGGTTACCATCAGAGGATAATCTGGGTGTTGACACTAAGGATGGCCAGGCAGTGGTGTGTCACCTTGCATACGGCATTTCCTCTTGCCAGAATGGTTCAAAGCACACAGAACAGCTCGAGAATTGTAACACTTGCAGAATGAACAAATACAAGCTGACTGCTTCACAGCAGGAGACACTTTATAAAGATATTTCAAGAACTACCATGGAAAAACAGCAAGAAATTTTTCATATGTTAAGAGCTGAAGTAAGAGAAGGCTGAAAGCAGAGCCCTGCTGCACACAGCACACACATCACTTCTTGCAGTGAGCCAGGAAACCGAGATGCTGATGAAGCTGCATCCGAAATCACACCAGAAGTCCCTTCTCACTGTGGTTAAAAAAACAGACATTCACACTCCACGCAAATGCTTCTCCCAGTCTTGGGTTTACCTGCTCTAACAAATTTCCACATTTTTGCCCCTAGAGGGGGCACATTCACTTTCAAGATTACCCATCCGTTTGTAGTTGGAAATGTTTGAAAAGAAGCCAAGTCCTTGAGCTACAGAATATTTAAAAAACTCTTTGACTCGGCAGTTCTCCACAACAACATCCAACTGCTCCTTGTTAGAAACTAAGGGTGTTGTTTTTTTTTAGTTGGAGGTATTTTTCATGCTGACAGTGAATTGTCTTAATGATCAAACAGGTAAGTTTGATCAGCAATATTACTACAATATAAAATTCTAACCTGGGGATGTATTGTGTGACTCAGCCCACTGTGGCAGCAACATCTTGTGCTGGAAGTCTTTCTTTTAGACAGAAGCCCCCCCCTTTTTTTTTTTAAGGATAATTTGATCTGATGAAGAGACACAGAGGAAATCTTTGGTGAAAAGTTCAATGTTTTTGACACAGCTGTTGTAGGAGGGTTACATGTACAGGTTGCACCAACACTGCTATGCTCTGTAATTGATTGAGAAAACAAAACCAAAAAAAGGAAATGCAGAAAAATACAGTTATGTCACTCATTACAAATCTTGTGCAATTTATGGATCTCAGAGCAAACCAGCTGATATCGAAACTGTGTTGGATCCATAATTTTCGTGGTACTTGTGTGTGATTTGCAGACTAATGCCTGAAGTTCCCACACTTCATTTTTGCTTTACAATGTTCATTTCACTCAGTATGCCTGATCAATTTAGGAAATGTCACAGTACTAAATTCTGGATCACAGTTCCTAGAAACAAGCAGATATAGTTTGCTGATTAAAAAAAAATAAATAAAAATCCAAGCTTTGACAGCCTTTCAGTTGAGCCAGAGCAGCTAAAATTGCATATTTTTTTGAAAACCATGTAACTTGAAAAGAATGCTCCTACTTTAGAATAGCATATCAAAGAGTTAATTTTAAATACAATGGGATAAGCTTGCTAAGGAATTTCTTCAGCATTTGAAGCTGAACTAACATCAAGGTTAAAGCATTAGCTATAAACAGCAGATTGCTTAATCATAATCAGATAAGCAATATTAAAAAAATCCTCTGAAACAGCAGCTAACTTGGAGGTCTGTCTTTAAAAACAAAGACACAGCAGAAGAAACCTCTTGCCAATAAAAACGGCACCGTCCCACCCCAGGCCGGTTTATAACAAATTGTTAATATAACTGCAGGTTCCCATAACCCTCACCAGTAACCCCACTCTTCCCCTCATACTGGTAAAAATGTCACTAGGACTCCCAAGCCCTAATAGCTACCATTCAGTGGCTTTCAAAACTGGATATATTGATTAAAGCACTTATTGTGAGCAGGAGAGTCTACAACAGCACCACCTTCTTATCAGCACCCTGTGCCTGCTAAAGGCCAGGCCTGAGCTCCAAAGTTGGTCCCCACCTCCAAAGGGATGTGGAGCTGTGCAAACACAGCCTGTTCCTCTTCTGCCAGCTAATTCCTGCTGGCTCTGCAAGGCTTTTGGATAAGTGATCTTTGGAGATGGTCAGGCTCTGCTACAACCTTCAAGATCTGATAAACGGCAACAAACTCTGAGGCAGAGTGTGAAGGGGTGTCACACTGGTCACAGTTCAAAGTGAAACGATGGCTGAACGTGCACGGTGAGTTTGCAGCTATTTTAAATGATGCAGAAAAGTGCAAGTTACCAGTGAGGAAGAGAGAAAGTGGTTGAATTACCTGTAGCCACCATGGCAAGGCCTATCTCTCCAGCCAGATGGCAGCTCTTCACTGAGGCATTCCCTGCAGCATCCCTTGTGCAGCACAAAGCACACAGGAAATCAAACATCCAAACTACAAAACCTTCCCTAGTTTTGCTGTTATAATTGAAACCCATGTTTCTGATCCTTCCTGCAAGATACATCAACTTGGGCCACGAAACTTAGTCAGAAGGAAAGGGCACTAAAAGAATGTTAAGCTTTTATGAGAAACCATAGAGAGAAAAAGATAATTTTTCCTTTTTTTTTTTTTAAGGTTTCCCTGTTACCTAGGCAACAAGGGTCCTCACCAGCCTGTTATGGCACAGGAGGGATGCAGCCTCCCATAAAGTGGAGAAGGGAAAAGCAAGCAAAAGGAGGTCTGCAGTTGAGGCAGACATCACCATGCTCTGCCAGTGGTCAGGGTGCTTAAAGCACTTCCGCAGCCCCACTCAACAGAGTTCCCCTTCCCTGCTTCTTTTTCCTTCCCCAGATCCTGCAGCTGGATGCTGCATCAAGCTACCAGACCAGGTTCAGATGCCAAAGCCTGGAGGGTGAGTCAGTACTTTGGCTTTTCACTGCCAGATCATACAAAGAAACCATGTAAAAGGGGCAGATTTCAGGAAGAAAGCAGCTGCAGAGAGGATGGCTGACAGGCATGTAGGACTAGGTGGAGGATTCTGTACAGCACATGAAAGATTAGGATGTCATAAAAAATACCTTACAACAATATTAAGGAGAGAAGAAATTAAGCTTATGCATACTTCACATACTTGACTATTGTTTGTCTATTTAAATATTCCTCTGGATGTTGACATGACTTTAACAAACCTGGATACAAAACTTCCTGGTAGCAACATGAAGAGCTGCCTTTGCGGAAAGTCAATGACAGAACCAACTAACCAACCCACACATCCAACCTCTACTCTAACCTCCTCTCATTCAGAATTAAGGTGTCCCAGCACACACAAGGGAGTGCCTTCAAGATTTCATTGACTTAATCATTATTCTCAAAAATTCCCAGTTAAAGAGCTATACTGTCAAGCAAGCTCAAGACTCAGTATTGACGCTGCAAGACAGTTCCAGAGTTAACTCTGTAGGCTTGGATCAGGTCAGATAGAACAGAAGATACAATGCTAGAACAGCAGCGGATGGAATTATCTGAATATTTCAAAAGTAATATTGACTTGGAGATTGGGGAATTCTGGAAGGAACTGTGAGGCTGTGCTTCTTCTTGGTTTTTATCCAGGTAGAAGACAGCTTGAGAGTTTCAGGCAGAAAAACAAGCAGATGTGATCATCATCAAGCATACGGAATGGGAACATTTTGAAATTAATTGCCCTGCAGGCCAGAAAACTTTGTTTTATTGAGATTATTAGGATGGAGATATTTCTCTGGATTAGTAAGGGAAAACACTAAGAAGGACTGGTTGAAATACTGCTTCCATCCCCCTAAGCAGTTCAGAGTATGAACATAATTGTCCTTCTGTCCATTATAGCACCAGCAGTTTAAGAGAGCTAAATGACAAAAAGGTAAACTTCTGCAAGTTATTTCAATGAGGCATATATGACCACACTCATCCAAAACCACAAAAAGTTTTAATGCATTTTAGTGGCTGTCCTGGTTTGAGCCATTTTGGCATTTCTTTAAAGCTGCATACTTTTCTCCCTCCAGAAAAAGCAGCAGATTTCTTGCTTGCTGTTCATTATGCGCCTTCTACTTCTTCAAGATTTCAAGCACTTTTCAGAAGGATGGCTCAGAAACACCCAAAACTCAAAAACTGAGCAGATTTCCATCTCTTCTTCCCTTCCCCCAGACAGACTTGCTGCAGGAAAAGAAATTACGACAACACAAAATGAAATCTAGCATTGCAATCAGACTAGCTAATTTAAGGAGCTTAAGTGTCTGTGTATAACACATTTGCCCAAGGAACAGCTGGTTCATTTGTTTTTCTTATTAAATAGCTCCATTCCAAACCCATGCTGAGCCTGGATTGCTGAATAAATTTGCAACAGTAGAGCTTTCACCTGTAAACTATTGGGTTGAATCCAATATAGGTCACTAATGCTTGAAACTCATTATGAGCACCAAACGACAAGTG